TTTTTACGTGTGCAATTCACCTAAAGTACATTCACATTCTTGCACAACCATCAATAACATCTAACTCCAAAACTCTTCCAGTATCTCAAATGAAAACTCTGCAGCCATTAAATAATAATTCCCCATTCCCCATTACCCTAGGCCCTGGTAACCATCATTCTACTTTCTGTCTCTATAATTTTGACTTTAAATTTATTTCATACAAGTGAAATCATAAAATATTTTGTGTCCAGCTTATTTTATTTAGCATATCTTTAAGGTTTATCCATGTTGTACTATATATCAGAATTTCCTTTCCTTTTAAAGCTGAATAATATTATGTTGTATGTATATACACATTTTATTTATCCAGTCATCTGGCAGTGGATATATGGGTTGTTTATCTTTGGAACTTATTATGAATAATGTTGCTATTTCTCTCCTAGCTCTTATGCTAGTATTTCATACATTTTAATTACACATGTGTTATAGACATTATTTTTATTTAAACAGTAAATTGTCTTTGAAATATATTAATAGAAAAAAATCGCATATTTATCCATGCAGTTATTTCTGATGTTCTTTATCACTTTGTGTAGATCCATGTTTTCATTCATTTTTCCATATAAAAGTTTCATTCTTCTGCTGCCTAAGAGATTTCCTCTAACTTTTCCTGCAGTGCAGGTGTGTTGATGATCATTTTTTTCAGCTTTTGTATGTCTTAAAAAGTCTTTATTTTTTTAAATGTAGTTTTATGGAATATAGAATTCTAGATTGAAAATTTAAAGTACTGAATGAAAAAAATAGTTGCTCCACTGTCTTTTCATGCACAACAAGAAATAGGCTGTCGTGTTTATCTTTACTCCCTGTACAAAGGTGTCTTTCTTTCCTCTGGTTGCTTTTAAGATTTCCTCTGTAATACTGTTTTGAGCAAGTGGACTATGACATCCCTTGGTACAGTTTCTTTCATTTTCCTGTCCTTGGCATTCATTGAACTTCTTGGATCTCTGGGGTTATAGTTTTCATCAAATTTGGGAATTTTTCTATCTTTATTTCTTCAAATATTTTTCTGTTGCCTGTTCTTGCCTCTCCTTGGGAATTCCATCTACATGTATATTTGGCTACTTGAAGTTGTCTCACAGTTCACTGATGCCCTGCTTATTGTTGGTAATTTTTTTTTATTTGTTTGATTATTTTACTGTGTGTCTCTCATTTTGGATAGTTTGTATTGCTGTGTCTTCAATTTCATTAATCTTTTTATTCCTGCAATGTCTAACTCTCATTTATCCCATTCATCTAAAATATATTCTCCCCTATGAATTTTCATCTCTAAAAATTCAACATGTATCTTTTTAAATATCTTCCCTATCCCTTTTTAACTTTTATAACTTATGGAATACAGTAATAATAACTGTTTGAATGCCTTTCTCTGACAATTCTAATTTCTGTGTCAGTTCCCAGTCAGTTTGGTTGATTGATTATTTAGGGTAGCATTTTCTGTTTCTTTTCATGCCTAGTAATCTTTGATTGGAAGCCAATCATTGTGAAATTTACCTTGATGGGTACTGGATGTTTCTATATTCTTATAAATCTTCATTAGCTGTGTTCTGTGATGCAGTTAAGTTACCTATGAAAAGTTGTTTCCTTTCATATCTTGTCTTAGTGATTTCTTAGGAAGGGCCCAGAGCTCAGTTTAAGGCTAACCAGTCCTCATTACTGAGTCAAGGCCTTCCCAAGTAGTCTTCTCAGTACCCCACAAGTTGGGCTTGTGAGAGTAGGCTATGTTCAAGTTCCAAGCCCTTTCTTTATAATTCTTTTGAATGGATCTTATTAAATTTCAGGTAATTCCTTCACATAAATGAGCTGATCAGTATTAAGCAGAATTCTCAAGGGGGCCTCTCTGCAGATCTCCCAAGTTCTCTCTCTGTGTACCTTTCCTCTCTCTGATATTTTGTCCTGCAAAATCTAAATGTCTTGGTCTCCTTGGACTCTTTACTCTGGCTACTAAACTCAGAAAATTGTTGCGCTCCTCTGAGATCCTTCTTCCCACATTGTGGCCTGGAAACTCTTGCAAAGCATTAACCTGGGACAATCATAGAACTCACTCTGGATTTTCACTGGTCTTCATTGCTTAGTGTCCAGTGTCTTTAAAAACCACTGCCTCTTGTCAGTTCCCACCCCCCCCCACAAGGGAATTCTCATGTTCTCTGATTATTAATTAAAAGAGGTCACAATTATCAGTGATCAGAATGCCTTACCATCTTATCCCAGTCATCAGGCTGATGAGTCATCTCTGCCCTTTGGCCCCACACTCTTAGGTGCCCAATGATCCCAGAACCAGTGTGCCCACCAAAGGGACACAGGGTGGCTGCTATGCCCAGGAAGGGATTTTTGTTTTGTCTGATCCACATAAAGGTTCCATATACAATGGCAGCCCACATAGTCTCTTCCATCCTGACCCTCCCCTCCCCCGATGACTACTCCATCTCCTTGGCCTGTAGGCCATCGGCAGCCAAACATGGGGAATGGCCACTGCCTTCATGCAAAGCAGACATAAAGTCTGGGCTGATGTAGCCTTTGCCTCAGTAACACTGGGAATTGGGTGGCAACAGAAGCAGGTCAGACACTTTACATATGGCCTCTGGGTTACAAAGCTTTGATGTGTATCCAACAGTGGAAAGGTCCTGACCAAATTTTCCTTTTTAAATAGAGGTAGTATATTTGAAGGATCTTTTGAGAATTTATTTTTGGAGTTAGATTGGTTTTAAGTTTCATGTGTGTGTGCGTGTGCACATGTGTGTGTGTATCATATAGAATGAAAGGAACGATGATCTAGCCTTCGATCAATTACAGATGCCAATTGCTCTTCTGTTTCCTTTAGGAATAACATCCAAAAACCTATGTTAAACCACAAGACTAGCTACCCCACACTTAAATACTCCCCATATTAGTCTGCTCTAGCTGCCATGGCAAAATGCCACAGACTGGGTAATTTTCTCACAGTTCCAGAGGCTGGAAATCCAAGATCAAGGTGCCCACAGGGTTGGTTTCTGACGAAGCATCTCTCCTTGGCTTGTAGATGGACACCTTCTCTCTGTGCACATGTGGAGAGAGAGGTGCCTGGGGCCTCTTCCTCTTCTTATAAGGGTACCAGTCCTGTAAGATTAGGGCCCCACCCTATGACCTCATTTAATCTTAATTATCTCCTTATAGGCCTCCTCTCCAAATACAGCCACAATGTGGGTTAGGACTTCAACATATAAATTTGGGCAAAGACATATTCAGTTCACAGCACTCCCTGAAACAAACACCTTGGCAGCAGGATCACCATTATCTACCTGCCATGGATATTTACTCAAGATGACAGGGACTGTCTGGGTTCTTGACTCTAAGCTCACGCTCAGTGGGGTGTCACAAGTGAGCAGCCCCTCCAGAAGAACCTGATTGGACCGGTTGTTAGGAACCCTAGATAGCTGATCCTGGCAAAGCAAGTGCAGCTGCTGCTGCCCAGGATCAAGTTAAGACACCCAGTCACAGGAAAATGTCACTGTCATCAGGAATTTATCATGTTATGGAGGGCAAGGTCACCCAGGCCTTCAATCTCTTCCCCCATCTACACATGACCCCTTCCCCATTTTTCTTCTTTAACCATCTCCCTGTATGCCCCCAGCCAGCCTGGCCTCCTTGCTCTCCTCCCACACAGACACTCTGTAACACAGTCAGGGTACAAGCAGGCAATACAACCCTATATTTGTGGCATGTTAGGGTGTCCTGGGAGCTTTTAAAATCCCAATGTCCAGGTTACATCCCATATGGATTAAATCAGAATGTCTGGGGTGGGCACTAGACATTGACATGTTCACTAGGACTAGGTTTGAATCCTAGCTTTACCACTTTTAGCTGTGTTTCCTTGGGTAACCTTGAGAGTTACTTAACCCTAAATGAAAATAGTAGCATCTATCTTACAAGATTGTGGGAAGGATTAAATGAGTTAATACTTGTGAAGAGCCCCAAAGAGTGCTTAACATGTAAGGTATGTGCTGTAAATATTAACTGCTATTATTACCAGGGGTGCCATAAATGATGCCAGTGACTTACAGAGGAAATATTTTACTAGTTCAATCACTCATGCAGGAGAGTCAGTAGATTGTACTAACTCCCCTACCTGTGAAAGAGAAGAGGTGAACTAACATTTACCGAGTACCTGCTTGGTGCAAAACATGTATTATTTTTCTTCATTTAAAGCATAATCCCTCAAGACTGATATTATTATAATTATTTTACAGAAGAATAAACTAAGATTTAAAGAAATTAACTCAGGTTAATCTAGTGATGGAGATAAAATTTATAACCAGGTTTTCCTCACTCCAAATCTCAAACTCCTCTGAATCCTCTTCTCAACTAGACAGTGACCTTTGGACTTCATGTTGGTCTTTGCATTGCCCAATTTTAGCAAATGTCCTTTGAAGTCAGTTTAGCCAGAATCCCCTCAGTGTCCCCAGGTGACATCTGATTCCTGTGGCCTGCCTATAGCAAGAATCCTGTCAGGTCAGTTTAACCAGAAACCTGCGCCCCTATCCCTGATGTTCCCACTCAGTAGTTTCTTATCCACCCCCTCCACATTGCTTCTTGGCTATAAATCCCCACTTGTCCATGTTGTGTTCATAACTGAGCCCAGTTTGTATCTTTCAACAGGGAAAAGAGATGATACAAATTGGATTTACTACAACAGGGAAAAGAGAGTAGTCTGGAATAGAATCTCCTTTTACTGCTTTAACTACTGTCAGCTCTGTTTTTTCTTTAAAAATCTCCTTATGCACACACACACGACCGCACAAATGTACACACACACATGCATGCATTCACATGAATACACAAGCACAGGAACACATACATACACAGCCCCAGATGCTCTCCTCAGGTTTGGTTGAGTGCTCTTTGGTAAAAAACTTGGAAACAGCCCCATCCCCAACCAGCAGCAGTATTACTCTTTCGTAGTAGTGACTATAAGCAGCACCCACCGCAGTCTAATGTGGCCACATCAGACTTCGAAGGCTCAGCCACCAGCTTCTGGATTTGGGCCAGTGTACTGCAGGCTTCCTCCATCTCCCTCCAAATGAGAAACACATCCTCTCGGACCTCAGCTCCTAGGAGGGAAATACAGTGTGAATGTGTGGCCATGGCTGGCCCAAGAACTCTTTGGTTGTTCTAGCAGAACTAGCACATCCCAGCCAGTTTTCTAGAGCATTTCTGAACATCAAATTCCATGTTCTCCACTAACCTTTGAGAAGCAGAACTGAAATCCCTAAGGAAATGCTGTCATCTCAAAAAATCATAAATGCACATTTTGGTTGCCATAAATCTTTATAAAGTAAATATTTGAAGCAAATGGTTTATGGAAGCAATGGCCCTCATCCTTTCTTGATGTAGCTGAGACTACCTACTTCTTCAAAAGCACGTTCACAAGTCTTCATTTTCCCCTGGCATAATCATGAGTCTTTGGCCTCCTTTTCTAGACATCTGTTGTCTCAGTTTAGGGCTAGGTTGGACTGTATGATTTTTATTTTTAATGATAGGGCTCATCTATATCACTCTTACAACCAATCAGTCAATCAAAATTCATCTATGGTAACACACCCAAGGCTGGGATAGAGGCTCTGTCCTCATCTAGGTCCAGGCTCTAACACATTAGTAGTTTCTGGAGGTTAAGGAGAGTATAAGAGCAGAAAGGATACAGGTGGGACTATAAAACTGCAACAGAAGAGATCCTGTGGTGTTATCTTGACTGTATCAATATCAAAATTCTAGTTGTGATATTGTCCTATAGTTTTGCAAGATGTTACTATAGGCAGAAACTGGGTAAAGGGTGCATGGGTATCTCTGCAGTATTTCTTACAACTGTTCATGAACCTACAATGATCTCTGCACCTCTGTGCTGCGCATATGTGACCAGTGGTGATGCCAAGAGGCCACCATGAGTGGAAGATGCCACCCACCCATTTTCAATGGCATCTACAGACCCAATCACCAGCCTGGCACTACTCAAGGCACCATGGAAGCTACAGGAGAGTCCCTGCTCTAAGGTTGCTTTTAATACGGTTCTATAGACAAGAATTTAGCAGTTGTATTCTCTAGTTTTAAAAACTCCATTCCATACTATGCAGCAGAAAGAAAAAAAAGAACTACTAAACTTCGCGACAGCATGGATGGAACTGGGGAGCATTATGCTAAGCGAAATAAGCCAGGGGGCGAAAGACAAATACCATATGATCTCACCTATAAGTGGAACCTAACCAACAATACAAAGATGCAAGGAAAATAAGACCAGCAACACTGAAAGGAAAAGAAATCAAGAGAGACAAGAGGGAAGGAGGGAGGGGGCCGGGGAAAAGGAAGGGAAGGGGAAAGTCAAGGAACATATAGCAAAGACTCATGGACAAAACCAAAGGGAAGAGCTGAGGGAGGGAAAGTGGGAGAAGGCAAGGGAAGGTGGTGGGGGGAAGGCAGAGACAAATGTATTTGAAAAAATACATTAAAATAAAATTTAAAAAATAAAAATAAAAATAAAAATAAAAACTCCATTCCAATGAAAATATATTTTTTAAAAACATAACAAACAATTCTGTTTCACAGACTTGTACGTGTTTGGCTTAGAGAATATTGATGATGTTATCATTGAAGTAAACTGGGTCCAAATTCTGTAATGATAACTTCCTTTTTAGGGTAATTGCATTGTGCCTGGCATTATGTTTGGGTCTTTCTAAACATTATCTCATTTCTTTTCACCACAACTCTGCAGGCAAATTCTATTCTTTTCCCCATTTTATAGCTGTATAAACTGAGGCAGAGCAAGTTGTCTAAGTCACACTGTCAATGAGTGGCAGAGCAGAGTCAAACCCAGGTTGGTGTGGCTACACCAACTCAGTCACCATGATGGCTAGGTGCCTTGAGCAAGCAGTGAATGGTTATAAAGGGGCCCTGCAGCCCCTCCTCCTGCTACTGATGAGACCCCACTTAACCAAGCCTGTCTACATAACAGCCCACAGACACCTGAGATCACACAGCCACAGAGAATGAGAGACCGCAATCAGGTCTACAAGCCATCCCAGGAGATTTGTGCACCAGGGCAAAGGGCTGACCCTAAACCAGCCACCAAGACAGTTTGGGACAGACCAGAGTCGATGTCTCTGACTTAAAAAGTAGTCGAGAAGGGCAGGGCAGAAGTAAAAGGACACGAGAGCTCTGGCCCTCCCGAAGTTGGCCAGATAATGTGCTTATAAAGAAGCAGTGACATGTCCTGGCACAGATGGATGGCCTCCATGGCTTTTCAACCATCAACAGTCCAGGGAGTGAAATGTGATGTGTACCCAGTTCCATGCTGGAACTCCAAAACCACTGCAGGCCACTGCCAAATGCAAACAGTAAGCCCACGGGTATTTCTGCTGCTGTGAAAGCAAGCCTGACTTCCTCCAGCTGCTTGCTGTAGCATGGACATGTAAGTAGCAGGTTCTCTCTTAAAACATTTCAAATGAGTCAAGGCTTTTCATTCATATCTTAAGAGGGAGTGACTACAGATCAGCATCCAAAGAAAACTTTCCAAGGAAACACAGGTGGCTCTTGATCCAGGGACAGGGGAGTGTGCTTAAGAAGCAGCAGTGACCTGAGGCATGCTCTCCTGTGCGAGTCTCAGTTAGGACTGTTGTCATACTGGTTTAGTCATTGTAATTAGGTGCCTATAAATTCTTTTTTTTTTCCAAGCTCACAAAAGTACTTGTTATTTGAGGAAAGAAGAAGTCTGGCTGAAAAGATTACAGTTCCAAGCAGCTGAAATACAATTGTTAGTGGCACTATTTTTCACTTTGTAGATGCAACTTAGTCAAAAAAGGGTCTCAAGGTTGCACTTTCCCTGCTGGACAACAGCAAAGAAAAATGGAAGAGATCTCTAACCTACTCAGACTTCTTTTCAGACCCAAGGCCAGGATGGCCATGACCCCAATGGTTTGTCTGCAGGTGGCTGCCCCATGGCTGACCAACATGGGCCACAGGAAGAATGAGGCTGGGAGGATGGCAGAAGGTCACTTGGGGAAGAACGGGTACTTACAGCTTCAAAACTCTCCATTGAAAGGCTCGAGGAGCTCACCAAGGCACAGATGCTCTAGTTCCTGTGGTAGCTGAGTAAAGTGGTCATATCCTCCCTGCTCAGTTCAAAGTCAAAAACCTGAAAGTTCTCAGCAATGTGTTCAGGTGTCACAGACTTAGGATCATGAGCAAATTCCTCCGCATGGGGACCAGATCAGAACCTGAGCTGTGCTTTTATTGCACTTTTCAGGTATGGCTTTGATCCTGGGATCCTCCAACAGGGAAGGGTCCTCAGGCTTGGCCCAGGGCCTGTCAGGAAAGCCAAGGGGACAAAAGGCAGTCACCACAATGCCTTTTGAATGGCAATACTGGATTAACTTCTTCTGAGTGAGGTACAGGTGGCAGTCAATCTGGTTAATCACCAGCTTATATTTTAAGCCAAATTTGTTTCAGATCATGATTTGGAGATGGTTGAAGTTGGAGATTCCAACAGTTTTCCCCAGCCCTTCATCCACCAGCTCTTTCATGACTGTCCACATGTCCAAAAAATTAAAATTCCCAGAGACCTAAAATTATAACATGGGTCTGGTGAAAGTGTCAGAAGAAATCACATTGCTTTTCCCATCCAATGGGAAAAATTCATTTCTAGGCTTGAAACTGATCAGCCAGTGAATAAGGTAGAGGTCCAGTAGTCCAGTTTTAGGTCGCTGGGCATCTACTGGCAGGCTCTCTTCACCAGGTTTTTCTCATGGTATATGGGCCACATCTTGCTGATGATGAAGAGGTCCGCACGCTTCACCACCTGCTCCTCGAGCTTCTCCTGGATGGCCACTCCCATCTTGTTCTCAATCTGGTACACGTGGGCACAGCCAATGTGGTGGTGCCCAAGGTCAATCACTACCTTCACAGCCTCTGTCATTTGCCCGCAGGGGAATTCCAGGTGCTCAGCCTCACAGTGGGCATCTTGGTACCGTTGGAGAGTACGACGAGGCTGGCCATGACTGCCGTGCTCCACAGACCCAGGCCCAAGGACCATGACCGGCAGTTACAGATTCTCAAGCTGGCAATCAGGAAACAGAACAACTCAAAAATATCCATTTTTACTAGTTTTGTTTAAAACAAACAAACAAAAAAGCAACTAGTGAACAAGAAAAAACAGTGGGCAGTAAAAAGTATAACTCAGAATGTAGAGGTTTTATTTCAAGTTACTGCACAGGCAATGTGGAAGGGCTATTTTTATCAGGGATCATCCCTGAGGGATTTAGCTAAGATATGGGACAACTGCAGCCCAAGGAGACAACCCTACTGGAAAGAGAACAGGAAGGAGGATAAGGCACAGGAAATCCCAGTGTTCAGAGAGCTCTGTGAACTTGAAATTCTCCAGGCTCAACCAGAGAAAAGACTAAACAGAAAAGCCTTATGGATCTTGACCACCAGGTGTCAGCCAGCCAAGGTCTGCAGCGCTCCCAAGCAGGAGCTGGTTCCTCTTAGAGACATCTGGGTGTCCTAAAAGATCCTCCAATCCAATGACCTCTCTTGCACTAACCCCTGACATCCCCCACATGCCATGGTAACAACCTGAAGGCTTACCTAATGCTGACATCAGCTGGGAGAGATGTCACATTACACTGCTGCTCTTCATTTGCTCCCAGTACTGACTTCTCACACTGGCTTGTTTAACAAATGAAACAAGACCCAGAGGTCATTGGGTCAGATATGCTTTGATGTGTCTGGGGAAGAGCCCTGAGTACCTGCCACAAAACACTGCTGTTATGTCAAATCTTTCATGTCTCACCTACAGGAATAAGTCTACTTTGAGTTCAATTCCTTAATTTATTCAATTAGCAAGTATTTATTGAGCACCTACTGTTTGGTGGTGGGTGCACACTGCCAGTTCCAGGATACAGCAGTGAACAGGGCCCTGCTCCCTGAGCTGGCACTTGAGTCTGGGGTTCAAGGCTCCAAAACACTCCCTTTAATACTCTGACACTGTGAACCTTGTCAGATCACTCTAGGCCTCTAGGGCTCTATCCTCCCACTGTCCTCCCTATCAGGGGGCTCATAGTCC